CGGGGGGCCCGGTCCCCACCCTCGCGGCGCCAGGCCGAGGGGCCCTGCAGCTGCGTGTTGGCTCGGAGCCCGGGAGGGAAAGGAGCAGGCAGGGTGCTCCCCCTCCGGAGAAAAGGAAGGGGCGCCTCGCCCCCGCCCCCGCACGCGGAGGGACCGGGTGAGCGGCTGTGAAACTACTGCGCCCCGGCAGCCGAAGGAGGGCTCCGGAGGGAGAGGCTCTGACAGCCAGGCTGGAGCCGGGCCAGAGAGTGGCTACCCGGAGTGCACGTAACGTGTGCGTGTTTGCGGCCGGTCGAGGTTGCGAGGCGGGGGTTGCAGCATGATGGGGAGTCGTGGACGGTCACGGGGGTTTAAAGTGGTGAAGTACTCCAACATTTCTTGGAAGGGAGAAAAAAAGGTAGGGGCGCCAGGGGGAAGGCTAGTTGGATCGGTTGGACAGCACTGATACCTTTCCCCATTAGTTAGAAGGTTGCTGCCTCTCTTTGCGCTCCCTTGCTGTTCGTCCTGCTCCTTCAGGACTGGATGGATCTTTCCGCCTCTTTCTCGAAATAGGGGTGCCCACCCTCTTTAGCTAGAGGGTCATTGTGCGTGGTTGAAGGGAGTGGTCCCTCCTTTTAGAGGAGTGTTTCTCAACGTTGGGAACTTTAAGTTGACTGCACTTCAACTCCCAGAATTCGATGCTGGCTGGGGAATTCTGGGAGTTGAAGTCCAGTCATCTTAACGTTCCCAAGGTTGAGAAACACTGCTCTAGAAGGACCAGAGCTTTGATGGGATTTTTCTCTGTGGGACAGAGAAACCCAGGGACCAAAGGGAGCTGTTCCTTCTTTGGCGGCCATAGTGTGGGTGCCAAGCAGAGGCATTTTCAGGCTACTTTTGGTAACAGTATAACACGGCTGGCATTGGCATGGTTGCTTTTCCTTCTCATGTATATAGTGGTCTTCTGAACGTAATGACATAATAAGAATTTTCATTCTTACTAGTTATAGTGTAATCCCCATTCTAGCTGAAGATATTCTGCTTCTATTTGTATCTCCAGCAGCCACTAGTGACAAGTTGCTTTGATGTGCGGGTGGATCCAAACTTATTATGTTGAAGTCATTGGCATGCTGGGTCTTTAATGCCAAATACTTGAATTACTGCCAGAAAGGCTCCACTTCCTCTCATCCCCCTTCCCTTAAATTTCTGCTTCTGGTTGGTTCCATTAATGAGGAAGTAAAATATAGAATTTCCCCATGTCTCCCATGTTACAGAATGTAAGGAAAAGAAACTGGACTCTCCACTTCTCTCTTTTGAACTTCTGTGGTTGGGGGAAGATTGCTGGCACTTTGCTGCCATCCTGTTTCAGCTTTAGCACAGCTTTAGGCCTTTTGCAATAGCAGTTTTGCTAAGGATCCCCATTTGGGTCAAAAGACAATCCTTAACTTCAGTTGCTTTTGTCTGCCTTAGATGAATAGCTCTCTCCTTGAAAGGACCAATAACTTCCTGCCAGCTGTAAACTTTGTAACAAGCCTCCTTTTGAATATTGCAGTGGCTGAAAGCAGCACTAAACTGAATTACATGTAAACCAGGGATGTTCAATGTCTGCTGTTGCTATCATAGATATCATCCAGTGTGAGGTTGGTGCATGGACTCATTCTCTGTGTTGAGTTGTACATACAGTGAATTAGAAATTATTCAGGTTACAATAATATCTGCTTTGGGGAACCTGAGCAGCTGCTTGCATTTCTAGTTAATGGTCATTTTTCCCATAGAAAACATATTTGATGTGACCTGGCTGGTTCAGCCAAGTATGTGACTTATTTGATGTCACCTGGCTGGTTCAGCCATGGCTCTACAGTGACTGAAAAAGTCTGTAGCCTTGCATTCCAAGTGCACATTAGACTCATTTGATGGGGAGTTGGCAGCCTCTAAATTGCTCTCCCTGCAGAATGGAAATAAAAATGAGCAGTTCATAAAAGCGAAGATGTGACTCCTGAAAGCTAGCAATGTTACCAAATAAGTTAGACATGCATGAATATTTTTTACTTCTTGGAGTACCAAGATTGGAAGACAAAAATACAGTGGGAACCCACTCTCAAATGTATATTTAGCACTTTAAGTTATTATTATTTTAATGCCTTCTAGTCAGTGTTGACTGCTAGTGACTGCCTGGAAAGTCCCTGCAGTTTTCTTGGCAAGGTTTTTCAGAAGTGGTTTGCCCTTGCCTTCTTCCTA